TCTCACATTTTCATTTTGAAAAAGTATTTACACAACATTCTTAATTGGAATCAAATTTTAATTCTCGATTAATTTGATGTTTGAAAAAGTAAAGTAGCTGACAACTTATTTCGAATTTGTTTAGTCCTAAATTAAACACTTTTCCTAATTTATAGTCCTAATTTAATAATCAGATCGAAGGACTGTAAAGGGCGCAAAATATGGTGACCGTGAAATTGTGTAATATTTGAATTATTTTGTGACGTTGCGAATGACGAGACTACGCAGTCTTGAACAAAAATCTTTTACAATGAAACTGTTACAAAATAGGTTTTTGGGGATCTTGTCGTTTTTTGAGAGAATTAATATAGTAACAAATGAATCAGTCTTAGCCTTGCTCCCGTACGAGTTAAATTGTAATCATTGTGCGAATAAATTACTTATTTTGTAGTTTAGTGCAAAATTGTGTAGAAATGAGGGCTGTTTCTTAGGGCGTGCATGTTGGGTATTTTCGAGTGCCTAATAAACATTTAGTAATGCGCGATTTTTAAAATTTTCAGTTATTAGCGAGTGCCAATAGGGGAAATAGAGAAAGCAATCGTGCTACAAGGATCCGAATTAAAGGGTTAGTCAACTTTTAATTTTTTAGAAAAATTACATTTAACTTTTATTTAATATTTTCAACTGATTTAATAGCACATTACACTGATGTACATGTGTAGGTACATTTTATTTTTTTTGTTTATCGCCAAGTGTAGTGTGTAAATTTGTGATTTTTGAGTGCACAGTAAGTATTTATTAAATTATGAATAAAAATGAATTTTGTTTTTGATAAAAAAATATTTTCCAAAATGTTTTTGTACCTATCTTTCTTTACATTTTCCATTTTCCAGTCTGTTCAGTACTGTTTTATGTCATAGAACATATAAACGTTATAAATATATAATATGAATTTTAAAGTGTTATATTTTATTTTTGAGCAAAGTTAAAAAGGTAAAAGTCCAAAGTGAGACCAAAGTGTTTTGATTCTAAACAAATTTCTTTAATAACATTTTGTTGTATTTGCCACATAAAAGGCACTTTATGAAGATTTTACAAAAAAATAGTTTTTTTGAAAATTACTAAGGCGATTTTTCAAAATTAAATTTATTTTTATACAGTCTGTCCCAGCGAGTTAATAAAGCCTATTAGTTATTTAACTTTTAACTAACAAACTTCTTGATTTATTAATCTTTACAAATGCAAATGCAAGATTCTGTACTTTTTTCTATAAAGAAGTAAGAGAAAAATTGTACTAGCTGTCTTAGTTTTTGTGTAATGAATTTTAAAAATACATGTTTTCCTCAAAAAAACATCTTCTTTCTAAAACTAAGCATAATTGATCAATAAAAGTTCACCTTAACAACATTGTCATGAAAATCTACA